AGAATAAAATAGAAAATAGAGTAGAATAAAAAATTGAGTTGAATTGAATAGAATAGAATAGTATAGAATAGAATAGAGAATAGAATAGAATAAGAAATAAGAAATAAGAATATGGAATGGTATGAATGGAATGGAAGAGAATAGAGAATAGAATAGAACAGAGAATAGAATAGAATAGAATAGAATAGGAGAATAGAATAGAATAAAATAGAAAATAGAGTAGAATAAAAAATAGAGTTGAATAGAACAGTATAGAATAGAATAGAGAATAGAATAAGAAATAAGAATATAATATGGAATGGTATGAATAGAATGGAAGAGAATAGAGAATAGAATAGAACAGAGAATAGAATAGAATAGGAGAATAGAATAGAATAGAATAAAATAGAAAATAGAGTAGAATAAAAATAGAGTTGAATAGAACAGTATAGAATAGAATAGAGAATAGAATAAGAAATAAGAATATAATATCGAATGGTATGAATAGAATGGAAGAGAATAGAGAATAGAATAGAACAGAGAATAGAATAGAATAGGAGAATAGAATAGAATAAAATAGAAAATAGAGTAGAATAAAAATAGAGTTGAATAGAATAGTATAGAATAGAGAATAGAATAGAATAAGAAATAAGAATAGAATATGGAATGGTATGAATGGAATGGAAGAGAATAGAGAATAGAATAGGAGAATAGAATAAAATAGAAAATAGAGTAGAATAGAAAATAGAGAGTAGAATAAAAAATAGAGTTGAATAGAATAGAACAGAACAGAACAGAATATCCTTTATTGGCCAGGTGAGATCACAAGGAATTTGTCTTCAGTGCATAAGTTCTCGGTGTACATACAAGCTATAAGTGATAAATCATGCTCATAGTCATCATAAATACACTCATCATGAATCATAAGATGCAACACTTAGCGATCGTCATAGGCAACTAAATAAGGAATCAAATCATACTAGAAAACTAAAGAAATCAATATAAACCATAAAGATACGAGCAACACGGTTATAGTCGTAAGTATAAAAGAAGATAGGTAGGAAATAGGAAGGATGAGAAGCAGAATAGCAATGCAGCCTTAGTGAATGACAGCCGGGAGGGAATTATTTGTTCAGCAGAGGGATGGCGCAGTGCACGGGGGCCTCCATGGAAGGCAAAATAGGACTTGCAGCCAGTTTTCACCCTGGCAGCCATTGCAGCCTCCCCAGTCACCTGATCAAAATTGGGATGGGATGCTTGGCAGCTGTCACCTACTTAACGAAAAGCAGCTGGACGTGGTTTCTCCTTGAGTACCTTTCCCTTCGCCTGTTGGGGCCGAAGCAACGGCCCATTTCAAGGGGGCCGCCTTTTAAACATGCCTCTGTTTTAACATTCGTCTAGAAACTTTCCGCAACTTTCCTGGCCTTCGGGAGCTGGAACTTTCTCTGAATGGTCTGAGGAATCTTAAAATCAGGATTGGGGATTTTCCTCACTTGGAAGTAAGTCCGAAGGGCAAAAGTGAAAGTTGCACGAATCCCAGCTGGGAATTGAGGTTAAATTTTTTCCAATTTAAAAGTTGGTTTCAAATGTTCTATATGTTGGGTGTAAACTCAGTTGGGAAAGACCTCCGCAGGCCCAAGCACTTTTGCTGCTAAACTATAGGTTACGTTTTTTAAAAAAAGATACATTAGGTAGATAGATAGATAGATAGATAGATAGATAGATAGATAGATAGATAGATAGATAGATAGATAGATAGATAGATA